CTGTGGGCTGGCGTGGTGTATCCCGTTCATGATGGCCTGCCGTGACTGACGAGTGTCTGGGCTGGAGGGGGTGCGGTGCGTGTGTGTATGTGTGTGTACAGTATGTGTGTGTATTTTTCTGTCCCCCCGACTGACTGACTGTGGCTGGCATGGATACTCACGGTGGATCGATGGATGGATGGATTTTTCTCGAGTATGTAATGGCGTCCAGGACACTGACTGTGTGCGGTTCTTTTCTATGGACCGACGGACGGCTGCTGACTGAGAGCCGGTCGGTCTGCACACACACACACACACACACGACACACATCTGGCTGCCCGCTTACCTGTCCAGTACCTGTGCATGCCGATTCACTTACCTGATCTCTCACTGATGACTGACTTGCAGAGAGACAGACAGACAACACTCACTCACTGACCGCCACCGACCATCATACACACACAGGGACGGCCAGTGCTTTGTGGTGTTTTCTGCGGCCGTCCGCCGCACTCACTCACTCGGTGCGTACCACCTGCTCATAGGCAGGCGTGTGTCCCTCCCGCACTCTCTGTGTGCACACAGACTGTGCGCTTGTCGGCCCTTTGCCACCGTCAGGTTTCGTTTTTGGCCCGCCGAGCAGCTGCAGATGGGTGGTTCCGCGATGACCACCCATCCCTCCCTCCCTCCTTCCCTCCCTCCACTCCACTGCACTGCACTGCACTGCACTGCCCGTAGGTGTAAGTGTACAGTCAGTCATTCGCTCATGCGGTCCGCTGGCTGACAGTGAGTCGAGTCGGGCGATGGGGCCCAGCGGATGGATACGGACGGCTGTGCCTGCATGCCTGCCCGCTGTCAACACGTGTGGGACTTCGCATGGCAATTGCAAGCAGACGGGCAGACAGGCAGGCAGGCAGGGGATACTAGCACTATGTCAGGTGTCCCCACACAAATTGCACTCTCACATCAGTGTGTGGTCGCTGGATGGCTCGGCCTGTCATCTGCTAGGTGTATGTGTACGTCTGTTCTCTGCATGTGTGTGTTTGCGGTGTGGTGATATTTCTCTGTGTCTGTCGACACGGCTCAGTGATCATCTGCTGGCAATGTCAGCCATTGCGAGTGTCCATCGACGCTCCCACGTCCCTTGTGCAGAGCCGAGAAGACAGCCAGCCATCCGCTTTGCCCTGTCCGTGTGAATGTGGGCATGGGGTTGTATGGCCACGCATTCAGTCAGTCTGTTTTGTCTATATGTCTGTCTGTCTGTCTCTTTGTCTGTTTGTCTGTTTGTCTGTTGTCTGTTTGTCTGTCTGTCTGTCTGTCTGTCGTCAAGCCAGTGCACACCCTGCTGCTGCCCGAGGAGGACCCGCCGTCACACATCGACTTCGACAAAATGAGCGGGGGATGGGGGCTGCTCGAGCTTGTCGCCATGAAGGTCAGCACGGCAGCTGGGCAATGTCAGCAGAGGGTGCCTTCATTCGAGCATCTGTGTATGTGTCTGGTTGTAGGTGAGGGCTGCTGCAGAGGAGCAATCGACGGAATTAGTGGGGTGGAATGGCGGCGGCGAGGACGTGCTACCGTCAGGATAATATGAGGGTGTGCATGGGCAGCTTGGTTGGCAGTTAGATCCGGTGTTTTGTGTGATTTGGGATTTATGATTCCGTTGCGGTCTATCGCTCGTAAAGTGGATGTGGACCTGTCCGTTTCATTCAAATATCTCGTCAGGTCACCACAAGCCGTCATTCATTCATTCATTCATCCATGCAGTGTCGATTGGCGAATGGCCACCGTCATTGACTCCACTCAGACCGATGCTGTCCGACACATGAAAGCCGTACAGATGTACCATACTCCAGCATTACTCGTCATCACATCACCCACCCCACTCACTAGAGCGACCACAAGTGGACCTCAACATCTCACTAACGCATCAAACGCTGCACAAAAAGGGAGCCACGAACTACTGATTGGCTGAAAAGGCGGGTCCTCATCACTCACTCGGCAAAGGCAGCGGCCGCTCTGTGTGGGCGGCGTCAGCCGACACAGAGTGCACTGGACGCCGCCCACACAGAGTGCACTGCCATTCGCACCGGCGCATCCGGCCGGATGAGAGAAGCATAAATGAACAGCGCACTTTTCTCGACAGCCACCAATCCACACACGCCTCTACACACCCTCAGCAATGCACTCCGCACCCTCGGCCATACTTGGACGCATTCTCCGCTTGCAGCTGGTGACCGCTCATGCGCTCTCTTGTCGTCCTGGACCAGGAAGGCGTGAAATAAGAGAGGCAGGCCGTGCCACCCATCAACCCATCAATCAATCCTCTCCCGCATTGATTGCCCTGGTCGACGCAGCCAGCACTCATCTCATACAAACCATCAGCCTGCAACTACAACAGTGAGTGCAGTGCTGTCGATTGGGGTGAGTGGTGTGTGTGTGGATGAGAAGACCGCCCGTACCTCTGCTCTGGCAGTCTTCTCACGTCGATATGCCATCCTGTGTTGCCTCTCTGCCTGCTGCCTGCCACTGAGCGGCGTCGATGGACGCAAACACACCTGCAGAGAGCCACCTGCAGCAGCCGCCCCAGACCATCCAGACACGCAGAGCAGCATATGGTCATTGATCCTTGCCCCCCTCTCCCTTATTTGCCTTCCCTCACCTCATCAGAGCCCCTCCAGCCGCTCTCGCCGCCCCAGCAGGCTCCAACGAGGCCGCGGCAGCTCGCAGTGGCGATCAGAAGTGCCCATTTACGGTACAAAGGCCGGTCTTCGTTAGAGGGTCGCCCCAAGCCCCCCACTGACCCCCAGAGGCGAGAAAGGCAGCGCCCGAGTGAGGAAATCGATCGGTCGTTCCGGGGGGCCGCAGTTGAGCACGATTCCACTTCATGTCACCGTAGTCGACTGCACGAACCTCCCCATAGCTTCCAAAATGCCAAAATCACCCAACTCAGCAACAAAGCTCGCTCGCTAAGCTCGCAGTGCTACGTTGAGACTTTCTCCTCTCCGTTCGATGTGTTCAGGCACCATGAAGGACAGAGAACACTGCAGAGTGCGAAGCAAATTGCCATTGACCATTCCGATGGCTCTCTGCTGGAGAGCCCCACCACGGCCTTTGCCTCTCTCCAGAGGGTGTTCCCTGCAGCCTTATGGTCTCTACGGCTGCTGTCTGCAGCCTCCTGAGGCGCACTTTCAGAGGAGGTACGGACTGACGAGCATTGGAGTGATGTGTGTGGCGTGACTAGGAGGGAAACACTGACACACTCTCCTCTCTCCGCTGCGCCGTATGGCTGCAGATTCCTCGCTCAGGGTGCGCCCCCGCTGCTGCAGACGGGCGCCCTCGACCACCTGAGCCTACCGTGGCCTCCTGGCCTCCAAATTTGGCCATTTGAGGTGGTCCTTTCGGCGGCACGGCCAAGGCCACAGGGGCCCGCTCCAAAAGAGCTTCAAAGACACAACTGAATCTTCTGTAGGCCTTGCAGAGCGAGTGTAGAGGCCACTACGGTCACACCGGCTGCCTCAGAAGCCCGCACTAGCTGAGCTGCCCTCTGCAGCGCCATGTCCTATGTGTTTGATCCCTCGATGGGACGTTGCTGCTTTCCGCAGTGATTGTGTCCTTCACCATGTTGTGTGCTGCAGGCGAAGGCCTCGCGCGATTTGACAATGGTGTCTTTGGTGGAGGGAAAGGAGGATCGAGAAACCTTAGCTAAGCTCGCAGACACCCCTCCCCCTCAAAAGATCCCTTCCCTTTTCCTCTCGTGTGTTGTGTTGATCTGTCCTGGTGCAGTCGGCTGGTTACCCCGTGGGCCACCTGTGCCGCGTTGGGCACCTTTGGACGCCTCATGGCGCCGCGTGACTCCCTCCCCACGTCGCAGGCCTCCCTGATATTTATGAGAGGCCACCCGTCTTGTGAGGTCGGCATATATCGCCTGGGGGGTGAGCAGCACGAGGACATCAGCAGCTTCGGCACAAAGCTGTTGGCGCTGGAGGGCCACCTGACGGCGACACGCTCACACTCGAGCAGACGACTGACCATCGTTCTCGAGTATGACGACCTCATGAAGCACATCAACATCTTGCGGCCCATGCTGCTCGGCCGCGCCCACAACACGGGCGTGCTGCTCAGCGGCAAAACGACAGAGGAGCTGGTGCAACAGGCCACCCGGCTGTACGAAGCGCTCCGTGTGCGGACCGTGGTGGTGCCGTGGCAGCAGCTGAGCCGTGCCGAGGCCCTCGAGACTTCCATCGAGGAACAGGCGAAGGTGACAGTGCGTGTGGGCATGTTGCTCGAGCCTGGCGAGATCTCCAAGGTGCCGCGCATCCCAGGCCCGAAGAAGATCTCCAAGGTGCCGCGCATCCCAGGCCCGAAGCAGCCGGACCGGCCGGCCGACATCGGCCGATTCGCCAGCTTTGTCGTGATTGATGGGCGGGCGAAGGGTGCTGCCGGCAGCAAGGGAGGGGATGGGGGGAGCGAGGGGCCGTCAGCCGTCTTGGAGACGGTCAGCACACAAGAGTCCGACGAGTACTCTCGCCTAGCCCCGCCCCTGCCTGTGTGGCGGCTGATGCCGATGCACCTGTAAGGAAGAGGAACGAGACGCGCACCCCCACGCATCCATCAGTGTGACGTGTCGGTTGTGTGTTGCCTTGGCAGCAAGTCGGACGTCTTCGGCATTGCGTGTTTCGACACCCAGTACGGCCACGGGTTAGCTGGCCTCTGCATGAGCGCAACGGCCCCCATCCTCGACCAGGCCATCCACGGTGAGACCACACACAACACTCACTCCCTCCCTCCCTCCACACCAACACACTCCAACACACGCAAACATGACGATTTCGTTTGTATCTGTGTGGTGTCAGGCTTCGGTCCTGTCGACCTGCCGACCTTCCCCCTCCCCCGCCCCCTCACCGACACCAGCACCAGCACCATCAGCAACCCGACCAGCAGCCTCTATCCCCCGCCCCCACACCTAGGCTGGAGCCTCACTGACCCCGTCAGAAAAGCTCGTCATGCCCTCTCAGCCATGTGTGCCTTTGCGGCCCATCGAGTGGCGGGCGAGCGGTCGCTGGACGAACTCATCACGCCAGAACTCCTCGATGAGCTGCACCGCTACATGACTCAACAGGTGGCTCGGCGGCTGACGAGATTCCCCAACGACAAGGACAAACTCTTCGACAGAGGTGAGCCTACACAACACACCAACAAATCGCCCATCGTCTCTCCATCACTCTGTCTGTCTGTCTGTGTCTGTAGTACTTGATGCTGGCGCGGCAATTTTGTTTGAGGAGGTGACGCACGGGCCCGGGAGAGAGCTGACACTCACGATGAGCCACATCAAGAGCAGCGTCGCCGTCACCGACGCCGAGCTCAACAGGTGGTCCCTTCTTCCTGCCATCAGCCGGCTGAGGTGGGGCGGCATCAGCGGCGATCGCATCCTCTTGCAGACCGTCTGTGTCGGCCTGCCCGCTTTCGCCAAGACGCTCTTCGAGAAGCTGGAGGTCCATATGCACGCCGACGTGCCGACCAAGGGCACCATCCACACTGGTTGGCCGATTTCGGAGGAGGACATCCTGGGGCTGTTGGGCAACTCAACATCACGCCGAGGTGACCACCACACACCACACACCACACACCAAAACACCCGTGTGCGATTCCATTTGTGTTGTGTGTCAGATGCAGAGCAGACGACGGGCCGCTCTCCGGACCCCGCTACCCACACAGCCTGCGCGGTCCCCCCGAGCGGTGACGCCGACAGGAGTCCAAGACGGTCAGGTGAGAGGGACGGGTGCACGCACTCACGGGTGCAAGTGTCCTGCATCTCGCATGCGGCCTCTGCCTTGTCAGCCCCTGCTTCCATCCACACTACGACCACCGCCACTGAGGGGAGCGAGCCAGGTGAGAGGCGGCACGTCGCTGCACGAGTGCTGTCATGTTGTCTTGTTCATTCGATGGATGTGTGCCGTCAGGTACTGCTGGCTTGTTGGACAGCTCGGCTTTGTCGTCAGTCGTCCCCTCTGACCCCCACCCCCACACAGACACCACCACCAGCATCAGCGGCGTGGCGGCGGCCGACCCCTTCTCCCTCTTCGTCCCCTTACCCACCCACACAATCGACATCGATCCCAGGATCATTTACCTCATCGACCTCTCGGCCGAGGACGAGATCGGCCAGATGGCGGGGCCGTGCAAGTGGTCGCGAGAGACGACTGCCAAGGTCAAGGACAACATCGCTGTGCGGCGATCTGGGCTCAAGATGCTGGTCAGCCGCGACAAGATGAGCTTCAGCGGCCCTGCGGGTGCCCGGGAGCCGGGCGCACACGGCATGGTCTACCTCCACGACCAGGGTGTGCTGTTCGCATTTTCCGCCACCAAGGGCGGCGTCAACTCCAGGGGGCGCAAGGAGAAGCGCACCACCATCCAGGGCATTTCGCGAGAGCTCGAGAATCAAACGCGTAAGTAAGCTTAGGAGAGAGAGGCAGATGGACCCACACGGAAGATATGTATGCAATGACGACACAGTTCTCTTACTTGTCCATTCATTCCTCCGCAGGGCTTGAGGAATTCCTCAGGCATAAGTGGGACACTTTGGAGGCGACTACTGGCCGCAAGGCCTCGATCGCCGCCCCCCAACAGCAGCAGCAACAGCAGCAGCAACAGTACAGCCCCAGCGGCTTCCTGCGGGTGTCTATCGATAGGCAAACCAACAGCATCCGCATAGGGGCCGACTTCGACACCCCTTCCCAGCCGCCCGTCCAGATGGCGCTGTCGTACAATGCGGCAAAGCCCTTCATCAGGGCGAAACCTGACGGCTTCGAGAGCGACTCCTACAGGGTGCGTGTGGTGGACCAGGGCAAGACCCTGGCTGAGGCGGACGGCCTTGGGGGCTCGAGGACGTCAACAAACGGCGTGTCGGCATCATCCGGGGGGGCGACTATTTCGGCCCCGCCTTGCTTTCACGTGTGACGGCGCACGGCTGGCAGGGGGTGCTCGAGATTCGCCTGGCCAACCCCAACACAGCCAGTGCATCCGTGACATCTGCGCCAGCCCCTTCGTCGAGTTGCCTGGCCACTCCGGGAGACGACGAGAAGTTCCAGGTGATCCGGTAAGCAAGGGTGGCAAAGGGCCGAGGAGAGGCACAAGAGGGGGATGCACAGTATACGCTGTGTGTCTGTCTGTCTGTCTGTCTGTAGCCGTATTTCTGAGGTGGTGACGACGCTGAAGGAGGCAGGAGTGCAATGCCGGCAACCTACTGTGCGCAAAGAGTGGTAAGGAGGTCTTGCTAGCCTTGGCGCACCGACAATGCCCTACCCGTTGATCGGTAGCCATCCGTGTGTCGTTCATCTCTCTGTCCTTGGGTGCTTGTGCGCGGTGCATCAGGTTGAAGACGAGGACAGCGGTCAGCCAGCTGCACGGATTCATCGACAGACTCGAGGGTGAAGCCGCCCAGTACAGACTTCGCCGCGGCGCTGAGGCCCTCACGGCCTGCGCCAGGAGATTCGCCGCAGACGTCGGGACGGTGCTGCGACGTGAGACGCACAGGCAGACCACCACAGCCACGGCACCCCTACCGGTCCCCTCCCCCGCCCCCGCCCCCGCGCCCAGCGCAGCCTCTGCCGACGTGCCGCAGTCGTCCTCCTCCCCCACACCCACACCCACATCCGCACCCGCACCCACATCCGCACCCGCCCCCACACCCGCACCCGCACCCGCACCCACATCCGCAGCCAAGCCCAATCCCAGGGGCAAGAAGCCCATCAAGTGATTTGACGGCTACAGTGGTAACGTAGATGCGTACGTGGGCGGGTGAGCAAACGGGTGGTACGTGGGGCTGTGGTGGGAGCTGCTGTGTCGGCGGTCGGTCGACCGTCTTCTTTCTTTCTCTGTCTGTCTGTGTGTGGTGGGTGAGCAAGAGCACCTGACGCACACACACACACACTCATATGGAAGACCACAGAGGAGTGCCGTCTGTTTGGGCGTTTTGCCATGAGCGTGTGGGTGCTGGTGGCATGCAGATGGACGGGCCGTGGGGCCACACACACAAAGAGCCCCTGTTCCGCTGTTTTGGCGTTTTGCGTACTGAAGGGGACGGCTGATTTGACGGGATGGGGCGGGAGAGGTCGGTACGGTGCCTGTGCGGAGGGCAACGGGTTCACATCTGCTGGCTGGGAGGGCTGTGGCCGAGCAGTCCGTCTACTGTACGTGTGGATTGTGTCTATGCGTGCGTTGAGCTGCCTGCCTGCCTGCCTCATTCACTCACTCACTCACTCATTGCTGGAGCTGGGGGTATGGCTGCCGACGATGTCGCTTGCATGATACTCATGTGTGCATCATGCCTGCGGCCCTCCCTCCCTACGTGTCTGCCAGTCGCTCGACACCTGGTGGACATGGTGTGTGTTGTGCTGGCTTGACCACTCACTCACGGCGGAGCTATGCTGCGGGGCGAATGGGGCGATGGGTGCGATGGGAGGGCAGCCACGGGGGGCTGTGCGTGGAAGTTAGTGATGGAGGGGTCAGGCGAGGCTGGTGGGTGGGTGAGCGGGGTTTGCTGTCCGTGGGGCTCAGTGGTGGGTCGGAAGGTGTGCACTGACTGACATGCCGGTGCGATCGGCCTGCTGTGTGTGTCACGGTGTGCGCGTGAGAGAGAGTGTTACACTACGGGCTGCTGCTTTTCGAAACGTTTTAAGTGTTACTTACTTACAGTATGCGCGCAGAGAGCGACACACGGCCGACCCGAGCCGACTTGACGTGGACCTGCTGGGTGTGTCGTGTGTGCGTGGGTGCAAGTGTGTGTGGCCAGGCGAGTGCTGCTCGCTGTGTGTTTTGGTGCTGCCGCCTTTTCGCATTTGTGCAGTTCCCTGCTGATCGTGTGTGTATGGGTGTGAAGAATTCCTCCCCTTCTCCGCTCAGCTTGTCGATCTATCAGCTCTAAGACTTATGCCCTTTATCCATTCTCCTTTTGCCTTTCCTCTGTTTGCCCATTTCATGATCAAAACGGTCAAGTCGCTCTGTGCGTCTATGCCTACCTGCCTACCTGCCTCACTCACTCCCTCACTCATTCACTCACTGCGTATCATGCCTGTGGCCATGAGGGCAGAGAGGCAGCCGACCGACCGACCGATGCGCCCACAGTCATGGTGTTTGCATGGGTCCACCCGTCGGGACTGCATATCTCTCTACCTATACAAGTAGCACTGACTCTCACCCAAGGAAGTGGGAGGGAATTTGCGTTTTGCCCGCCCCATTGCCTTTTTGTGCAATCCAGGCCGACAGCAGCCATGACCACTTGATGTGATTTGATCTCCTTCATTGCCCATCACTTGCTCCGATTGCCTGCCTGCATCGTTCGTGTGCGTGTGCCGACCTGTTGAATTCAGGACTCTGTCTGTCTGTCTGTCTGCCTTGCCTGTTTTGTGTCGACACGTGCCTGCGGCCCTCAAGTCTCGCTTCGTTTATGTGCGTCTGTCGGTGGTGCGTTGATGAAGGCAGCGGGCTGAGAGGTGACTCTCACACCCGCGTGCCTTTGTCGACACATCACCACAAACCTGATGCCCCGGTGCCTCCGTGTGTCCATACGTGTGTGTTGGACATATATTCCAGGCCTATATGTCCAGTATGTTCATGTGTGTGGATGTGATGTGATGGCAGTGAGGCGCTCCGTCAGCACGGCTGGCTGGATGCGATTGAGTTTGTTGATACATGTATGAATGAATGGGGTGCATGCAAAGCACGTCGTCCCCCTCTCCCCCCTTCTATCTACGCTGCCTTTGTCTTCTCAATGTACGTACTCTCTGTCTATGTGCCCCTTGATTGGTCGTGCGTCGGTGGTTGGGCATGTGCGTGAGAGCTGTGCACAGCCCCCCACCCCACCAGCCATCCATCGACGCACCAACCAATATTCAACAGATGTCCACTTGCCTTTTATCCAGTGAGATTATTTTCAATTGAGACGATGGCCGACTGTGTTGTGCATGTGTCTGTCGGTGTGCAGCGGTATTCCTTCCGACTGATGGGTGCACACAGATGTGTTCGCCCTCCTGGTTCGCAAGAGATGCGATGCACCGACAGACACACGCACGCTCAGATGGCCGATAAATATGTACATCAGACGATCCGAAACAAGTGAGAGAGACCATATGCATATCGATGGACCGACATCATTCGATGCCAGCAGATGTCTCTCAGTCAAGAGCAGCCACGCACTCCCCCATCAAAACGCATCGATAAAGTGGATGGCGGAGCACATTGTCACTGAGGCGTGTCGACAGACACAAAGACGTCTCTATGGTTACGCATTCTCTATAGTTGATGGACCTTGATGAATCGTTTATTGGCCAAACCAATCGGTCGACACTTGGCACAATTTCCCATTCAGCTAAGTCTGCATGCGCTCCATCAGCACACCAGCCGTCACCACAGCCGACTTCGCCCGGCAGGTGGCTCGCACACATACGAGCTCACGGACGAGGAGGGAGGGGATAATGCGCCTGCGCCACAGCTCATCGGGCACCAAATCAGAGATCGCCACTCGTCAATCAGCACATGGCCACCGCCTGCCACACATGGCCACCACCGACCACCAAACACGCAGGCCACGTGCCTTGGAAGGGCGGCTGCTCTGCTCACTCAAACGATATCAGACGCCCGTCAGCAGCAGGCAGGCGTGACGAGGGAACGAATGGCTCTGCAGACACACAGCACCACCACAGGCAGCACGTGTGTGTGAGGCAGCAGGGTGTGTGTGTCAATTGATCTGCGGTTTTGCCTCACACACCCTGTCGGTCAGCGCATTCCCGTGACTCACTCCCTGGCCACCCACAGGAGAAGCACTCACTCTCAAAGCGATGATCTGCGGCTGGGACAGAACATGGCACAAGCACACAGAAACAGTGTGTACTGTCACCTTTGATGCCCTCCGCCCCTCCTGCCGGCCTTCTTGCACCTCAACGGGTCAGATCAGCGGCACTCACAGATGACGGCGACGCAGCTGAACTGATCGACACCATCTCGACACCAGCTGACACGCCACACACACATCCGCCAAAGCCACGTTGTCATCAAAATGCGCCGAAGAGAATGTGCGAGCTCATGGTGAAGGCTTTTGCGCTCAGAAGGTGAGAGGGCTGACAATGCTTCACACAGCTGCTGCTGAAATGTGTGAGCAGATCTCAAGTGTGTGCGTCGCTCACCGGTCGGTGTCTTCCGCTGATTTGAGGTGCTGGTGGCCATCGATTGGCGGCGGTCGGCGACTCACTCGTCATCGCATTGGCTGACATCGGGTGAGGCAAAGCGGCGTGTCAGTCAGTGTGGCGGATGTTGCATGAGGCTTTTGTGATTTGTGATCCGCTGCTGTGCGTGTGCAGAGTCGTTCATTCGTCACGCCTCTCTGCTTTGACGGGCTGGTTGCTGCTGTGACGGTGTCTGTCTGAGGTGAACAGAGCATCCCGCCCTCCCATGGCTCTCGTCTGGTTGACTGATTGCCATTCACTCGTTTGTGTGTCCTTCCTCTTTGGATTCATTCAGATCTCTCACTCACCGATGGCGTCGTCGTCGTCGTCGCATCAGATGCCTCCCACCACTCCCCAGCCCCCCGTCGCCCCTCCGCCAGTCCCCTCTCTACCCGACCTTGCCATCACCAGGGCGGCAGACATGGCCATGTCACCCCACCCCGACAGAGGCGCCAAACTCCGTCAATGCATCGACAGATTGCCGCAGGCCGAGGCCAGCACCGCGCTCACACTCGTCGAGCGGCGCATAGAGGAGGCCATCTGTCGCCTGGGGCTCGAGGACGTCCTGGCCTTCGACGTCGGTGGTCTGGAGGACGGCTTGAAGTTGGTGCATGTACTGGAGCAGGGCAGTGGCGGCGAGTGGCGGGCGACGGGGCGATTCATTCGGCTGGCCGCCATCTATCGCCTCACACCCAATGGTAGTCTGCCCCTGCGGCTGTCGGCTGATGCACTGCCCTCCCCAACAGCCTTCCACCAGCTGCCGCTCATCATGGCCCTCTACAAGATCATCGGCCACAGCCTCGCACACCAGGGGACGAGCCTGGCGCTGCAGCAAGCCAACAATGACGGTGCCTATCGGATCGGCGATCAGTCGTTTCGTGTGGTGCCGCTGAGTGAGCTGCCAGCCAACCATCCCTATCGCAGCGGCTACCAGCGGACCGATCCGGTCATCCGACATGAAGACCTACTCTTTCCCTCCTTTTGGTCATTCCTGGTGCGCCTGCTGGTTGGCATGGGCAACCGCTACAGGCTGATTCGACGCATCAACCACGATGATCCGCGCTATCGCCGTCTGCTGACTGAGACAATCACCAAGCAGCAGGGGGGCATCGCCGTGGACTACCGGCGCGACTTCGGCGATCTGAATCATGCCAACCCAGACGACGACCGGCGCCTTGTGATCGTGAGCGGCTTCCGGCCCAACGAGAGGGTCGCTGCCCATCTGGAGGTATGGGGCCGCATCGACCTGCTCACAACCGAGGCATCTGCTGGCGGTCGATCTCAGCCGCTGACCGTCCGCTTCCCAACATCGCTGCCCCTCTGGCGTGCCGTGCTTAGCCACTTTCACCTCGGGCATCGCGTCATCAACAGATTCAGGTTGATTTTGTGAGGAAGGGGGACAGATGTGTGTGTGTGCTAAGGAGGGTTGACAGTGTTGGTTGATTGAGTGAGGTGCCTGGATGAATGGATGGATGGATGGATGTCATGTTTTTTTGTTTTGATCTATATGGATGAGTGCCGAATGAGCCATGGACGCATTCTTGGTGTGATCGTGCGCATGACTGTCTGGTCGTGCGTGTACTCAATGAGTCTGCTCGTGTGACAGCAGCCGCTGGTGGACCCGACTGATGCCGTTCACACATACATACACCAACAGCCAGCCAGCCAGCCAGCCAGCCACGCAGCAGTCGCGCTGTTGGCGCATTGTAGTCGCGCTAGCCAACAGCCAGCCACCCAGAGAGCCATGCAGCCGTCATCAATCACGCGTGCATGACCATAGGGTTGATGTTCAGCAGCAGCCCATGCGACTCCTCCAGTTGCTGCGCCAGCATCTCGCTGTACACACTCAGGAAACACTCAAGCGAACACCTATCCTCGGCTTCATCGGCTGACAGCTCGGGTGGGGGCTGCGATGTGCCGATGTAGGAAACATCCTGACACTGAACAAGGAGATAAACACGGAGACATGGATGTACTCAGAAGGAACACATGCGTACCTTCTGCAAATGGCAGGCTCTGAGAAAAAGGTCATCGAGTTGTGAGATGCTCTCGTATCCAGCCTTGTCCAGCACATCCTTCAACTGACAGGCAGACAGACAGACAGGCAGGCAACACGAAGGCGATATAGCCATGGTTCCCTTGAGGATGTCTCCCTCCCTACATTCCCACCTCGTCCTTGATCATTGGCTGCAGGAAGTCCAGGTCAGCGATGCCAATGTCAGCAAAGCTCTGTGGCTTCAGCAACTCGTCCGCACCGACCTCGTCGCCTGCACTCTCAGATGCAAAGAATTGATGCAATTCTGGAGCCCAGCCTCTTGTTTTGGCAGTACCATAGTTCTGCCTGTCGGCGACTGATCGTCTGTGTGGGGCAGGGATGTCTTTGCGGACACTGGGCACACCGAAGATGCGCTTCGAATCAGGCCAAGCATTCGATCTGCATCCTCAGATCGAGAGACATGGGGCGATGGTGACGTGTCTCCTCTTTGCATGTCTGTTATTTGTCTGTCTGCGCTGGGGCTAACCTCCCTGGTTTGGTGCATCTGCCAACGTTGGCGTCAGCTTCTTGGTCATGCGCGGGATAGAAGCCCTTGACGAGATCCTTGACCTTCACCTCATCCTCGCCTGCCAACCATCACTTACCATCAGAAGAGCTGCCTGTCCCCATTTGTCTCTACCTGAAGGCAGGCCGTAGAAGAAATCAGGCGGCACGGGGGGCGCCCCATGCCCCTTGGTCTTGGATCGACCGATCTCCCCATTCGTGACCTTCCGAAAGTCCTCCGTCAACTGGATGCAAGAGGGCGAGTAGCTTTGTATTCATCTGTCTTCGTGTCTCGCCGTCGCAGCTTACCTTGCCGACGATTTTAGTCTTGGGGTAGGCTCCAGGGTCAGGTTTGTTGCCTGCGGCAACCTGAAGGTCGTGACAACCGACCATGCTCTTGCGAGTGCCATCGAGCTCCTGCAGTGCAAGACAAACAAGACATAGATTTCATTTTCTGCATCAGTATGTGTCTCACTCACCCACCGGGTACTTTTCAGTCGCTCCGAATGCGTATGTGTTTGGATTGACACCCTCTGGCCACTGGTACCGGCGGTTGACAGGCTCGCCTGGATCATAGTCGCTGTGCGTCTTCTTGTAACGCTCCTTTATCTCGTCTGTCACGCGTATGCATGCAGACGTTTGACAGATGTGTGCCTTCTCGTGGCGTCTGACCCGTTTCCAGTGGTTTCTCCCTCGGCCAGATGGCCCTCTTGACCGCATCCTGACCTGAAGCGACGACAATCAATGGAGGCAGTGGACCACGATGGCGTCGCATTTCGTACCCTCGGGGCTCTGTTTCACACCAAAGCGGAAGCCGGCCTCATCCGTCTCTGAATGGCAAAGCCACACGACGCAACACACATACGCTCGATTAGGCATCCCGGGCTGTTGACTTACTTGCGGGAAGGACGTGGCCCCGGAACATGGACTTGCCCCGAGGCTCCCTGCACACACATCAACACATACTAACAGCATGTACATGAGAGCCATTGAGACACGCCCTCTACCTTCTTCTGCTAGCGTAGAGTGTCTCTTCCTTGCGGTCATCATCGAAGGCCTTGAGGCCGAACTTGAGCTGCGACTTCATCACATCGGCCGCCGTCACGCCCTGCACAGACCTGCGCACATGGCACTCGAGACAGAGGAGTGAAAACCGAGTGCCTTCTTATGTGGCTCACGTTTGTCCGAATCGTGATGTGAATGGGTCGATGGGGAGGCCCTCCCTGAGTCCCCAGTGCAGGTTGTTGGCGCCTTGCGTCATGTTCTTGCGATACTTCTTCTCTCGAGGGGGTGTAGACGGAGGCTGACAGAGATAGACGGGGGAGGCAGGAGATAGGGAGAAATGTCAGTGCAGCAAGGGTATTTGCTCGCCTGGCGGTATTTCTCCGGGTGTATGCAGGTCTCTGTTGACTCGCCGTCGTGGACATGGCCCTTGCCAGCCGGGACAATGAATGGGTAGGGGTCCTTCTGCAGTGGCCTTGCGCCACTTGCCATGCCGGGCATGGGAGGGCCGGGCACACCAACCTGCAATGTCGTCATACTTGGCGACGGCTCCGGGACCCTCACTGAACTGACGTTAGGCGAGCTCCTGGGTGGGCGGCGTTCGCGTTCGCGTTCGCTTTCACTTTCGCGTTCGCGTTCGGCGAGAACACGCTCGGAGAGGGGAAGGAGGCGTGGAGGAGGGGAAAAACGTGGCGAACGGTGGGAGCCCGTCGGCGAGCTGAACCCTAAACCCTTACCCTACAGGCTGGTGGTGGAGGAATCGCAGCGCCTGACGTGTCAGCCGTGGAGCCGTCGAGCTCTTCGGCGCGCCCAGCTCAGAGATCGGCTTTGTCATTCGCTGGCCTTCCAGGGGCTGCGGCGGGCAGTGAAATGGCAGCGAGGGATCAGATGCTCGAACAGATACAAGCCTATCAGACCAATCAGGCGAGGGTATCTGACCAACCAACACACTCACTCATTCACTTACTCAGTGCATCCATCGCTCATCGGTTGCCTGCTTGTGTTGGGTTGTGTTGGGTTGTCTGTGTGTGCAGGTCAACAGGCGCATCTGCCGACTCTCTCAAGTGGACGCCGCTGCGACCACGCCGCTGGTGCGGCCAGACTGCCACATACAAGGACTACACCAAGGCCTTTGTGTCCTGATGCTCTCGTGTTCCTTATTCATTCATCCGTTCATCAGATGGTGGCGAAGGTCAGTCGTCAACTGTCCGCTGAATCGGCCCGTCTGGCCCAGCTGGCGGACGGCATCGACTCGACCATCGCACTCACAGCACACACACACACACACACACGCACACACACACACACGCACACACACGGCCGCAGGTGTGTCTTTTTGCATGTCATCAGGCTCGACGATTGCACGTGACTGACATACCTCCTGAGCCGATGAGTATCGTCCTGGCACTGTCCGACACCGCCGCCGTCGGCCGCTCCAAGGCGACTTCACGCCACTTCAGAGACGCCCTGCGGCCGATCATCCGCAATATTCGGCTGCGGCAGGCCATCGAGTGTGCGGGGTTTGGGCGGTGTAGTGGAGTTCGGCGCTGAGGTGAGCCACGGCGATGTTATGAAGGCCATGTGGATGCTGGAGGAGGCGGGCGAGGGCGGGTGGGGTTGGCGGACACACTCAGACTCTCTGAGCATATCGGCTATTGTCAGCTGCCCGTCACTGTCGGCACTGGAGACCTGCAGACACACGCCATCAAGACGGTAAGCACGACACACAGCGGGAGGCAGCAATGAGGGAATGGCTGTTTGTGTTTGTGTGCGTCTGTTGGATGCAGGAGTGACTGCGTACGAGTAGCCAGCAGTGAGGGAGGGAAGGGTAGTCTTCTGTCATGGATGGCTGGATGGATGGACTGCGGTGATTGCGATGGATGGATGGATGGAGGCCTGATAAGGGGCAGGGCTGTGCGTGGTGCGTTTGGACCATTCCATCTTCATATTTTGAATGTATGTATCTGAGGTATTACGCCTTCACCATTGTACCATCAACACGTGTGCGCATCTCATCGATCTCCATGGACTCAAACAAGCCTGTCTTGTCCACCGACACACCCAGCCATGTCAGTGCACACCTCTCTCTCTCTGCTTCCCACACACACACACAAAACAATGCGCCAGGCAGCCGCCCGTCCATCGGCAGAGAAAGAGAAATATATAAGTCAGGCGCACTCAATCCACCCCCAGGGGACCGAGACAAGTACAAAATACACACAGCGTCTGGTCCATTGTACCATCAACATGTGGGCGAGTATACAATCGTGCAAGTCACACAGACGGATGGCAAAAGGACACACACGCAGAGGGGGGATGCTCGACCAAACGGGCAAGTGCAAAAATTTGGCCTTCAGTCCCTCAAATAGAAGGAATTCGAATGAATCGCTCGCATCGCGTATGCGCCCTATAAGGGGCACCGAAAAAGGCGACGATTTACAATGAGGTCTCGTCCCCCCAGTTCAGCTACACAGAGGAACCATGAATCCTCCATGAATCCTCGACTAAGAATCAAACAAATTGATGAAGACAGATCGCTACGCAGTCCACACTAGCTGAGCTTTTCTGCCATATATAGGGCTGAGGGAGCCTGGCACACTCAGGGATTATCAACGGAATCCCTGAAGAATTGCCGAAATCCTGGCCACTGACGTCCTGACATATGAATATGTCGGCAGAGCAGAGGGAGTGGGTGAATGACAACTCTGCCCTCACTATCGTACCGACTGGCATCAGAGCTGAAAGGGGCCACAGATATTTGGGTAATCCCTGCTCATATAACACACATCAAGGGAGGATGTCTGTGAGTACCTCTTCGGCACGCTACGGTATGTTGGGCAAGAGGCCACCCTTGTCTGTGCCGTCAGGGGAGCGGCATACAGAGGGCCTGCTGTGATTAGCGGGCGGAATGAACCCGACTGGCGTGGCCCGAGATAAGGTGGAAATGATGAAGGAAGACATGGCGCACAGGTCGACTGCGGGTAGCGCCGCCTTTAGGCCTCCCTCAATCAGAACGACCCAGGGCAGGCGCTCAGTTTAGACGACAGAGGGCCCTAAAGGAGCCGTAGAGATGCCCAAGGCAGTGATATGAACCTCCGCACCAGCCGGCATCCCTTGGACGCCGGTATCGATTTTCCTCTCTGCGCATCTCCGTCACCACACGGCTCCCCCAAAGCACCACCACCGCACATGAGCTGATGGTCCTGGATTGCTGGATGGACGTAGGTGCCCACAGGGTCTGGCTGGTCCTCTCAGGGTGCTGGCTGCTGAATGAATGATGCTCACGAAGGATCAGTCCCCTCACGCACGCGCCTCATCGATCTCCATCTGATCAAACTAGCCTGTCTCGTCACTTACTAGGTCGGTGCTGAATCCCTTGTCCACAACAGACAGCGGCTTTCGCCGCAGGACCAATGCACGCACACCCAGCGCCCTTGTCGGCCCGCCCTCGTTGGCAACAGAGCACTGCAGCTGTGGCACGCGCAGCATCTGCCCTGGCGATGTTGAACTCACTCCTGCAGCATCCACACGTCCAACACACACACAGACGATGACGAGTGCCACAATGACGGAGTGCCTACACCCCAGCCCGAAGGCTTCCCGAAGGCTCCCCGAAGGCCGATGCATGAGGTGAATGAGACTCGGTCGGTTCATGAGGTTCCGTCGGTCGAAGCCCTCAACAGAAAGCAATAGACATCGCCGCTTCTGTTGAGGGCACTCTTGCCGAAGACGTCCAGGGCTTCAGGCAGCCGCATCAGAGGGTCGACTTTCTCACGCCGTACGCTTGCCGTTGTTGGCCGTTAGAAAATCGGAGAAATGGCTCCGCTCCCTCGTTGCGTTTGATAAGTGTGGCCGGCCCTGTGTCCTCCCCTCATCGGAAAGTGAGGATTAATTGCCACTCTCAGCCGGCTCCGCGCTCTGATTGCCACTCTGACGCCAGCCCCGCCGGCAGCGGCTCTCGCCTTTCTACGAGCTCACGTGAGGTGCCCCACCGTCACGCAAGACGATGGATGACACGCTCAGCTCGCTCAAAAGAGGGCCATGGGCGAGCCACAGCCTGTCTTCCCATGACTTCCTCATGAGAGGTGGTTTTTGGAGAGTGATGGAGAGAGAGAGGAGCAGACGGAGGCCTTCATCACAACGCCCGGCCTCTTCCTGTCGTCAAACTGCCGGGCTCTTCCTGCCAGGGAGGAGGCTGGAGGCGTTGCACCAACTCCCCCCTCCTCAGCCTCACCCAACCGGACTCCTTCCCCATCCGCTTAGCGTGTCCGTCTCCGGAGCCTCTACACTTGGACCCTGCGAAGCTATGGCCATTCTGAAGACGACATACCCTCTAGTGCTCAAGCACGACAGACAGGGAGCAGAGCTACCTCGCCCCCAGTTGCGAGCAGGAGGGTTCAAAGAATGAAGGTGATTTGACTCACCGCCATTGCCGTGCTTCTCGCCACCAGAGCCAGAACGGCGGATTTTCCGTCGACGGGCAGACCATTCATAGCAGTCCGGGTGTGAGGGAGATCATGCCGTCGTATTGGTATTGGCGGCATGTGGCTGAGGATGGCGTGTGGCGCTGGCGGTCCGTCAGACACGAGGTCAGCTGAATGGATGATGACAGCACTCGAGAGGCGGCTCCCTTGATGCAGCCGCCGCAACAACTGTTGCTTTCTCTGCTTGGTCTGTGTGCAGGTGAGGATTGCTGTGGTTCCGGTTCCTCAGGAGGGCTGGTCCTACCGACTCACCTACCAAAGCGGGCAGCCACCCACCACACACGACAAACAGGTCGGTGGCAGAGACGACACACCTGGCTGCATTCCCATCCCCTCTGTGTGTGTGCTGTCAGCCATGGCATCGTCTGTCCCGCGGTGCACTCGTGTGCATCTTCGGCTACCTGTACCCATGGGAGCTCGAGCGGCTGGACGCCTCGCTGGGCGCCCCGCTGTTTCTCCTCGCCCCCGCCCACTACTCACACCTCGCCATCGACCCATCCGATGCCGAGGCCGCTCGCCAGTGGGCGCACATGCGCCCTTCCGTTGCTGTCCAGTGGGGCAACCGAGCGGTCAACCTCCGCACAATCACCCAGAAGCAGCCCCGCAACGGTATCTGCCTGCAATCCGGTGTCGGCCTGGGCTGGTGTGTCGTGACGATGGTGTGTTTGGTTGAGGGCCACGCGCGCAGTCGGGCGGCCATGATCGAGAGGCAGTAGAGGGCGGCGGGGGCGACGGGGACGCGCCCACAGCAGGAGGGGTCGCTCGAGCAGATCACCGTCACGGATGTCAACCGCATCGTCACTGAGTGTCGTTGGCATGAGTTGCCGCAATTCCTCGGCCCCCCGATCACCCTCCACTCACATCCATCATCGGCCTGGACGGCCACAGCAGCGACCTGTTTGACGAGCTCAAGTGGCGGATGCCCCGGCTGGAGGAGGTGCAGTTCAGGTCGTGGTGCAGACCGGCCTTCGTGCGGTCTTCGGGCTGTCTGCGGAAGATCAGTGCAAGTGCAAGACCCGGCTGGGGCATGACCACAACCACAGTTGCCGGGCTTCTTGACGGCATGTCCACTGGCGCACTGGAGCAGCTGGAGATCATCGAGGGCGTGGAGCTGCCTGGGCACCCGTTAGATATCCTAAGTCTGCCGGTGAGTGGGTGGCTGGATGGGTGAAGGGAGAAAGGTGACCATGGTTCCTGTGCTTTGATTTCAGGAGCTTCGCGAGCGTCTGCTGGAGGGCGGCTGTCGTTCACTGAAGCGTTTGGTGTTTCACGTCCCACAGCATCCGAGACCATCCGACCCCGACGAGCGCGATCCTCACTGGTACCCGTCGGTGATCGGTACTTTGTGGGAGATCGACGGCCTCAGATCCCAGCTGCCCGCTCGCAAGATCATGGCGCCCAACTGCACCATCGAGCTGACCTTCCCGGCCGACGGCATCAGCATCAAACTCGGCCCTGCCCACGGCCTCCCTCACCCCAGCGCCATCTCGCCCTTCGTCATCGGCAAGATGGGCCAGATCGCCAGGGCCATCACGCTCATCAAGTGGAAGCCTACCACACCCAGACCCGATGACGATACTGACGACCGGCACAGCGGCGCCACCGACCCGGCCGCCTTTGCCGATATGCACCGATTCCCAAACGTCAAGGAGCTGCAGATCAAATCTGGCAGCATCGACCTCTCCCAGCACCCTCCCACCTCCCCTGTGTGGTCTGCGCTGCAGCTGCTCCCACAGGACGCCTTCCCGGAGGGCATGCTGCTGACAGCGGAGGGGCCAGTCGGTTGTGAGGCAGCTCGGCAGCTGGCATTCACGGGCAAGCTGGCCGGCAAGGTGGCGTCTCTGGCTCTCCAGAGCTTGAGCAGTAGGGAAGCAGTGGAAAAGGGTGATGTGATGGGTGTGCTGGAGGCGATGGGGAGCGGGGAACAGCTACAGGAGGCGCTCCTGTCGGCGAGGGATCGGGAGGGCCTGCTTCATCGTCTGGGCGAGAGGGCGGACTACATACCTGCAATCCGGCATCGGCACGTGTCTATGACTGGTACGTTGCACTGCACGTGCACACAGACGGACGACGCACTATGTATGTAACGCATTCCATTCCATTCTATCCCTTTCGTCAGGCATTCCATTCCATTACGAGCTCCTGGATTTTGGCTTTCTCCCCCGAGGCTATGAATGAATGATGAGTGTACTGGTTTTTACGCGTGAGTGACTGGCTGAGAGATTGAGCGGGAGACCGAGAGCAGCTACAATACATTTAACCAGCCATACCAATGTCAACAAGTCCGGTCCACAAACGCATATGAGCAATAACCGCAACGGAATCACAAATCACAAAACCCAAAACACGGCTGCATTGCACGCTCTCATGCTATGACGGTGGCACGTCCTCGCCGCCGCCATTCCACCCCACTAATACCGTCGATTGCTCCTCTGCAGCAGCCCTCACCTACAACCAGACACATACACAGATGCTCGAATGAAGGCACCCTCTGCTGACACTGCCCAGCTGCCGTGGTGCTGACCTTCATGGCGAGAAGCTCGAGCAGCCCCGATCCCTTGCTCATTTTGTCGAAGTCGATGTGTGACGGCGGGTCCTCCTCGGGCAGCAGCAGGGTGTGCACTGGCTTGACGAGTCGGGAGGTGGAGGTGACGCAGCACGCCTCCCATAGGCCGTTCTTCGCTTCGCGAACTGAAGGCGTACGAAGGACCACTGGCCAGCTGAACAGCAGCCGGCACACACGTGATGTGTGGACGCGCGTATGGGCTTTCCCCATCTAGCTGTGTTTAGTGTTACCCTTCGTTGTGGGCGACATCGAAGATGACTTTTCTGACGGTGCCGGCGAGCACCATGTCCTCAGGGGCCGTCTCGATCACCAGACCCTCGGGCGACCGACGAATGGCGAAAAAGTTACTCGACAAACCCTCGGCTGCATACACCAGAGCAGAGGCAGATGGAACACACTGATGCGCGACCCACACACGGGAGTGTTGTGCTGTGTGGGTGTTGTGTGGAGTGCTTGCTCACAGATGTGTCCGTGTTCGTCGCACATGACGACCTCGTTGCTGTCTGATGCCTTGGCCTCCTCCAGCTGCCGCCTATCCCTCACCCACTTGCTGTCCTTGGTGCTGGCATTCACACGGCCCCCACGACGGACCTCTGCCTGCGTACACAACACACACGCAGTGGTGCGCACACCTACCTGTCCATTGTCTGTGTATCCGTGTGCACCTACCTGTACAGTCTGGCTGATGGGCGTCAGCTCCTCAATGTAGCAGTAGAGGTCGTAACCCTGAACCACACAGAGGCGGCATAGCACTCTCGCACAGCAGGGATGGATGAGGGATGAGACCTGTTCTGGCGGTGTCTGGTCATCGCTCTCGTCCCACGTCATCAGGGCAGTCAGCTGGTACTCTGTCGCCTCCTGACAATCAATAGTCAGTCCAAACACACCCACAGAGGGATGACAGAGCGTCCGTCAGCTCTTTGTGTCCGCGCGTTTCTCTCCTACTTTGCTTGCCGGGGGCTCGTTGACGAGGAAGGTCAGCCCCGCTGAAATGGTCTGGGCCAGCACGGGCCGGAGTTGCTCAAACGTCAACCTGCAGATGGGCAACACACAGACGCATGGAGGGATCGTACCGGATGTACTGCCTTGGTCATCTACCTTTTGAGGATGTCTTGCTTCTTCTGTGGCGTGAGCGTTTCGCTCTCCTTCACCAGAGATGTGCTCGAGTCACCTGCAGGCACACACATACATACACATGACACTGCAGCCCCTTCCCCCATCTCATCCTGTTCGCTTACACATCCTCTGGACGTGCATCTCGAACTCAAAGACAGCCCTCCCTCGCCGAACAGTGCGGGCCGTCGTGTACGCCCCTGCATCACAACGCACAATCGCACTACGCTGATCGGTGGATGAATGATGCAGTGCTGCTTAAACATACCTCTGGGCCATTTGGTCAGAAAGTCCCTCTTGGGGAAAGATGGCGTCGTGCAGAAGCCGTTGCGCACAAAGACAGCCAGGCGGTGATGGGAAGACTGAGGAGATGACGCATCCATCGGCTGCGAAACCGGAGATCTGACAAGGACACACTGGCGAGATGCAGCCTGGTGGTAGGCAGACTGTATCCTGTGGGCGAGTTCTTGAAGCGCTTGCGAGCTTAGATGTGGAGGAGGGGAATTCATCAGATCTCTCATCATGGACCACACAGCACCTCCCCCTACATCCCTGCACACAGCACCCCTTGTCATGACACGCTGTTGTTTGTCTGCACTTCGCACAGAAGCAGCAAGTCACCTCTATCTCTCTCTACAGTTGCAGCTGCCTGTTGGATGTGTCCCTCCCTCCCTGCCTGTCTGTCTGGCTGCATTTGCCCCCCATCGACCGACACACGTGACACACACATGACATGGATGTACGTCGTGTATGTGGTTCAGTTCATTCATTGGTAGTGCACCTGTGTCTGTCTGTCTGCCCGTAGCCACATGAGGCAGCAAGCAGAATAAATGGCCTCGCCCAAGCAGACAGGCAACACATATAAAATGCCGCACACTCCTTGCCGCATACCTGTCTGTTTATCAGTCAGTCAGTCAATCTACCTGTGACCTTTGCGAAGGAAAGCTATCCATCCAGCTAAGCTACACACACACGGGGTGAGTGCCTACACTACGGGGAAACAAACCAGTAGTACAGTGACCATACATCCATCCAGACATCCAGACATACACAAAGAAATGCAACACGACTCTCAGAGGGGGAGGGAGGGCCTCTCTAGCTTGGTGGCTCTGAGGCTATGGTTGAGGCCCGTATTGTCCTTCCCCGAGAGGATACGCCGCACTGTCCTGCTGGCTACACACACACACACACACACAAAATACATGATGCTCATGATTATAATCTCGTCGCCTCACTCACACAGGCCGCTAGATTTGGTGCCCAGTTCCTTGGCGTGCTCCTTGATCTTCGCCGCACACTCCTTTTGTGTCCGACACCTCAGCTCGACCTCTCTGTACGTCGACTTGATGACGTATTTCTCCCGCTGCCTCTCGCCGACATTGCGTCGCTTCTTCTTGGCCTCGCCGACCTTCCGCCCCTTGATGGCTGGACGAGCCGGTTGCGGTGCCTGCCTGCCGGTGGTGGCACTCGGGGGCAGCTCACGTGAGCCGACGGGATCATCAAGCGGCACCGGCGTGCCGATGACGATGGCACGCCAACTCGGGAGCGTCAGGAGAGGCCAGGGGAAGACAGCCGACGGCGAGGGCATCGACAGCAGGGCACAGGACGGCATGAAAGGCGGCCAGAGAGGACTGGGAGCCGCTGGAGGCGGGGCGGTGTTGGAGTGGTGTGGAGAGGGCTGAGAGTGGGTGATGTCGTCACCTTCCGATGCCGATGAGGACATAGGCAGGCCCACAGACACCAAAGCCGACGGAAAGCGGCCGGAAGAGTCCATCTTCGTCTTTTCCTGCGAGCTTAACGGCAGGAAAACGGCCAGAGTTCTCAGCTCCTGACGTCGAGGGGCCGCATGAGGCGGCCCTGTCGGCGATGAAGGTTTTCATCAAGGCCGATGCGCTTGCTGCGCCGAATGCGAGCTTAGATGTGGTGACGAGGGGAATTCCAGCAGATCTTTCATGATGGACCACACAGCACCTCCCCCTGCATCCCTGAGACCAGATCCAGGCCCTCTACCAATGGACGCGTGCTCTGTTCCATCACCTGCGTACCAGAGACCAGCAAGGCGGCGTTTCAGGCACTTGTGCGCACTCTTGATGGTGTTGATACGGATTGGAGGCGTCAGCGGCCTCCCAAGGCGGCCGCCTGTTAGTGCTGCCCTCAGCTGGCGAAGACGCGGTCGCCCACAAGACGCCAGAGATCCTTCCTTTGTGGTTCTGGACATCGTCAAGGTACACACATGCCGACGCACGTGCATTTGGCCGCGTGCAATGAGTTTGATTGCATTGCATGTTTGTGTGGTGTGCAGATCTTTGGTCGTATGGCGGATTGGCAGGCGTGCGGTGACGCCATCAGCTGTGGCGCGAGTGAGTTTGTGCCTCTGAGTGAGGTGGGCAAGCCCAAGAAGTGGGAGCAGCTCTTCGGCGGGGGCAAGGGCATCAGGGCGAATGAGATGGACGAGGCTCACTTCAAGGCCACACTGTCCAAGCTGCCCTTCAGCTGGCCACACACGGTGAGGACACGGCAGCAGCGAAGGCAATAACGGCAAATCGATCGACCTCTGTGTTTTGTTCCTGGCTGCACTGCAGGTCAACACGGGTCAGATGCCCGACAGAGGCCTCGTCCCTGTACCAGGTGGGCACGCACCGGCCGGAGCAGATTTCTTTTCACATGTGTGGGCTTTCTACCTGTTTGCTGCTGATCAGTTGCGCCTCGCGAGTTTGTCAAGGTGGTCAGACAGCTGGAGGGCACCAAGAGTGACGGCGTGGCATCGGCAGGCGGGAATGTGGCCCTCAAGGATGTCAACCAGTGTGTGGGGGAGATGGCCATTGACGAGGATGCGATCCAGTGTGTGTTCGAGTCGATGCTGCAGGCCACCGGCAGCGCATCCCTCACACGGGAGGGCATCGGCAAGGTCATCCAGCAATGGGCGCCGGCAGATGGTACGCATAGAATCACAGTCGCCCGGTGTTCATGTACATGCGCGTGTGTGTGTGTGTGTGTGTCATGTTAATCAGGTCTTGTGGATTGGTACACGTTTGTTTACTTCTTGACGCGAGCACCCGAGGACGGGCTCAGCCCATACAACGACTGATTGACGGAGAGCGAAAAGATGGGTTGACTGCCCTCGTGTTGGCGTCGGCCGTCTACTGCCCTCGTGTTGGGTGCTGGTCGACGGACGACACGGCTGTTCTGTTGATACGCTGAGAAAGCTGCTTTGGGAATGGCTGCTCGCTGTGCGTGAGCCCTCCCGGACTTAATGAATGTGTACGATCCTGGTCCGGTCTGCTATGTACTGGATACGTCTACAATGAATTCGTACCATCATCACCCCCGGCACCCCCGACATCCAACAGCGGGCCATATGCATTGCAAATCAGCCGTCTTGTCCGGCAGTTGTACACACATCCTACTCATACACAGACTAGACATATATGTATGGTCAAACACAAAGCCAAGACACTGATGGGCGAATGGGTGTGTTCGACCCTCCTTCGCCTGTGTCCATGAGTCAGTCACGTAGTCCCTGACACCCACACCCACATGGCGAGAGAAATGAGCGATATATACACACCCACATAGGGGAGGGAGGACCCATGCAGGGGGGCAGGGCCATGGGAGAGGGGGGCGGGGAGCTGCGATTGTCACCATATATATATGTAGGTCTGTCTGTCTGTCTGTCTCTGTATGTCTGAACACACTGGGCGATACATATGCGTCAAAAACAGCAGACACACCACTGTCAAAACGTAATGCAGACAGTGCGAAAAGGCATCGCACAGACAGGCGAACCACACGCTGACTTGACTAGGCCGCACTTGTCTCTCTCTTGATTGACCGTGGAGCCTTCGGACACGCTGGAGCAGCCAGGTCAGGTGCCTCTCGACGTTGTGGCTGATGCGCACCAGCCGCTCCAGACAGCCAGCGTCATGGTTGATGCGCTTGATGTGCTCCTCAATCTCCTGACTGTCCCCCTGATCGCTGCATACACCACACACACAGATGTGGTGGGCATCCATCCATCCATCTGTGCCTCATTCTCTTCTCTCACATGAACTGCAGATCCATGAGGGTGAGATATTCCCTTTCGAGCTGCAACAGCAGATCCATGAGGGGCAGATGCCAGCCGCGCCCAGCCCCGCCTTGCTCGCCATCCTCCTGCTGCTGCTGCTGCTGCTGTTGATGGTGATCACTGGTGTCTGCGGGCGACAGACTGGGCGGCGATGCTGACGGGCCGGACGGCATCATGCCCTGCTGCTGCTGCTGCTGCTGCACTTGCACGTTCTCCGAACACCTGGACACCCACCCACCCACCCACAGACGAGCTATGTGGGAATGCACAGACCTCCATCCCCTCCTACTAGTTTTGGCTTACTCCTGCACGTCTGGCTGGAAGTGGCCATGCGGCTGCTCGGCTCCGCTGGGCCGTGCGAGTTCAGCAACGGCGCCCTGCAAGATGATGTGGAACTTTCGAGCACGGTCGGTCAGCTGCTCCAGGTGCTGCTCGACCCTCCAGCTTAACTCCGCAAGCCACTCCTGCCCGCTCAGGTCACGGTACTCCTTGATGTGCTGCTCCATCTCGCGCTGATCCGCCTCAGTGGCACAACTTAATTCAGCACCCACACACACACAGACGTGACGGCCATCCATCCATCCATCCATCAGTGTCTCTCTCCCTCTCCGCTCACCAGAAGTGTAAACTCAAGGCGGTGTGGTACTCCTTCTCGAGCTCCCCATTGGACAGGTTCCGGAGCATGCCCTGGATCATCTCAACGCGCTCCTCGAGGGGCAGCTGGACGCAGAGATGTCTGCGGGGGCCAGGCACTCGGGCGAGATGGTGGACGACGTTGTCGAGGACCAGATCCACATAACGAATCATCTTCTGAGTCCGCCAACTGATGCATGGGCCAAGCCAAAGACACACACGCACGGGCAGACCGACAGGTAGATGATCTCTTGCCGTCTTTCTTTGAGAACAGACAGATGCCGCAGACCTCGTAGTGAGGGTCTTGACCGCGCGGTATAGAGCTTCACTGGCACGAAGACATCGACAGCATGCCGTATGCGGGGCTTGTGTATGCGTGTGTGTGTGTCTGTGTGTCCTTACACGTCGGCCTGAGGCTCTTTCTGGTAGGAGATATCACGACCCTCATACATACAGCCTTCACCCTCTGTCAAGTCCTGGGTCGACCGCAATCTGACACTGACGCCGTGCTTCTCCAACGCGCTGACCGTCTCGATGATTCGCCTACAGACGCGCGCGCACACACATGCAGACACAGACACACCGCACGCACCATCTGCTCATTCCTAATCCTCTCCATTGTGTTCCTTACTTGTGTAGCCGGTCTCTGTTGGCCACAGATGCCGGTATGGCTGGCGGATCCGTCGAAGATGAGGGCGACGACAACGCGGGCGTGGAGTTACCTGGATGCAGGGAGCGCCATACACCACATTCAACATGACAGCAACAACACGTGAGCAAGCAGGTTCCGGTGGCCTACCGTCAGATGCGGTGCGCAACTTGTTGACGGCTGCATCCTTCCCCACCGGCCTGACCTGGCGCTTCTGCGCATGACACACCATGCCCGCCAGACAAAGTCGCTATCGCTTGAGGCCTTCCCTCCCGTCGTGCTGTGCCTGACTGCCTGACCTGCATGGCGTAGATTTCGATGTCGTCAGCAGTGAAGTCCACACACCCCACCAGACTCTCCCACTTGCTGATGATGAAAGGATTGACGGCCATGGCGTCCCCCCAAGATTCTTCGGGGCATACCATCCTGGTCGTGTGCGGCCAGACGAAGTGACAGACCCGACGGAGATCACCGGCCGGGCCAGTCACCGCCTCCCCGTCAGCAGGGGACACCACACCATCCCTCGCGAGAAGGCCATTTGTAGCGTAGCCCAGCCAGAGGCGGCCTCCCGCAATTGCCACACTGCCCGTCGGACGGCCGACCATCGCACAGCCGACCATGTCCACCACTGCGTCCTCTGGCCCTGCCAGCTCCACGATCCAGTCGTGCTGCGGCACCTCCACCGGCGTGATGCCCTCATCCTTTCTGGTGGAGAAGAAGGTCACGGGGCAGTTGATCTCAAACGTGGCAGGGTCACGTCCTGGACGGCTCTTGGCAAGGACCACCCCCCAACGCATCATGTGCTCGATCGACGTCGAGCAGCCCAACGGACTGCGATGCACTCGGAATGGAGACGTGGGGTGGTCGAGTAGACAAGCCAGTTTGTGGGTGTCGGTGCGTTTGACGACCAGCAGGAGGGGCGTGGCCTTGACGTCAAACTCGCTAAAGACTGTTCTGGGATACTTGTCCGCCTGCAGGAGTGTGCTGCCCTCGCCGACCTTGGCCATCATCGTCTCATGCGACCAGCCGTCACGACGCGCCCTGAGAGAGAGAGAGAGAGAGAGAGAGAGAAGACACGATGTCGCTCTGCCGCACATGCCCTGTGTATATGTGTATATGTGTATGTGTGTATTGCTGTCTGTCTCACTTGTAGAGGAGGTGCGCGGAGGCCTTTCCTTCGCTCGCCACGCTGACGAGCTCTTTGAACTGCACCTCAGGCAATATCGGGGGAGCCACCTCGTCACTCCACACCTGCATGCGACCAGAACACAAACCAGACACACATCAGCAAACACTCTCACATCACGCTAGCTGCATGCTTAAGCCAACGCACCCGCCCGCTGACCTCATAGAATTCGATGCATCGAGCCCTTCCGAACGTCACACCGGTGCCTCTGAATGAGTCGGCGCCGTTCCGCAGCTGCGCCGTCCGCTGCTGCGTCTCCTCGGCAGATGGGAGAAGGCACACCCGGCACTTCCGCATATCGTCGTCCTTGCCGACCCCCAGCCACAATCGCCCGCCGGCCAAGGCCACACGGCCCTTGACGGTCTCATCGTTGGTGGCCTTGACGACGCCAGTGACGCCGCCGTGGACCCCTGCGGCGATGACGAAGTGGTCGTGCTGTCCGTCGTCCTCTGGCGGCACCTCGGTGGTGACGATGCGCTTCTCGCCAGCCTTCATGGTCATCCGGTGGAAGGTGACCTTGCGGCCGGTGAGCTGGGGAAATGTGCTGTCAGTGCGGAGGGGGAGGGGGCCGTCGATGTGACACAGGAGCCGCTGCGCGTCGTTCGTCTCGATGACCATCAGGCGCTCTCCCACACCACCACCACCACCACCACCCAGGTAGCTCATGAGATCAGCGTACGACACGGCATCCTCCTTCCTAGGAAAACTCCTAAACACACACACACACACACACACATACACCCATTATTCTTCCCATTGTCCCCTTCCCTTGTCGTTGCCGTACGTGTGGCGGTGGCGGATGTTGTATGTCTTGCCCAGGACGCAGCGATAGGCCTGCTCGAAGACGCCGTACATCTCACACATGTCGGCCAGCCCCCTCGGGTCGTCCGAGAAGGGCGGATACGGCAGATCGCTGTCCTCGACGCCGCCGTCGCCCGACATCCGAATGCGCCGCGCCCAGTCGACCACCCTGCAGACAGGACAGAGAGAGAGTCGCAGGCCGTTGTGGCTTGTGTGCTGCTGTCTGACGTGCGTACTTTTGGAAGTGTGTGACCCGCTTGTGGAACTGCTCCACAGTCTCACCCGCACTCCGCGAATCAGTCGTGGAAAACCTGCACACACACACACAACACTGATGCCACCCTGCATGTGCCGCTGTGTCCTTCCCTCCCTCTGTCCCTCTGACTGACTGACTGACTGACCATTTGAATTGGTGGTCGAGCAGTTCGAAGTGCTCGAGCGTGGCGTCAGTGGTCGACACCGCACACACACACGTGCCGACGCCGCTGTCGGTGAAGATCATGGTCTTGACCTCACGGCCGCCCCTCCCGCCACAGTCGGCCTTGATGAAGGGTCCCACCAGCGCCATGAAGCCCGCCACGGCCGCTTTGCCCTCACTGCTCGGCGCCTTGTTGTCGGTGCTCATCAATGTGGGAGCGAGGAAGCGCAGGCGATAGTCAGGAAAATCCGATCTAAGGAAGCTGCTGCCTGGCACACCACTCAACAGCCCAGCCAACCTGCCAACCAGAAGCACGCAGCGACAGACAGACAGACAGACAGACAGGCAGCTGTGAGTGATTGCCCTGCCCGCGTGTTTGTGTGCCGCTGTCTGCCCACTCACTGATGCACTCACCGGATGAAGAACTCGGGATCAGCGTCGATGAATGGGACGTCATTGTCGTCGGTCAGCAGCCACATGGGGAAGCGGTGAAGCAGCACAGAGAGGCACGACTGCTGCCACTCGGAGCGAAGCAGTGCACCGACTGGGAAGCCAATGACGCGGCCGCCGACGTTGATCTTCATCTGTTGCTTCTCGCTGTCGTGGCTGCTGCTGCCTTCGGTGGCAGCGGTGGCCGGGCTGCTCTTCATGGTTGCTTCCGTCAGAGGAGTGGCGATGGGATAGAAAGACGATGCTGGTCACTCTTCAGAACACTCGAGCATCGAACGATGAGTATACTGCTGCCATAAAATTCAATTCTTTTCGCTCCTCGGCGTATCGCTCTCAGGGCTAAGGTGAAACCGATGTGCAAGCTTTGTTTGGCTTTAAGGTAACGGAAAGCGAGCAGATCGTTCAGTTGCTGGCTGTATCGCTTTGATAACGTGTCAGAAGTGCAAGTCGGTCCAGGGTTTAGGGTCTAGGGTTCATAGACCGACGATCCACTGATCTGTGAGACAGGACGGCTGTTGAGTCT